TTTCCATTAGACATGAGTGTTACTGTTACTGATGATGACACTTAAGGCATGACAGAATTACATTTGCCTGGGCAGAGTTTCTGGTTATGCCTCAAGTCAGTCTTTGAATTTCTTCTGAGAATTTTACATGTGAAGCCAAATAGGAGTCTCATCCAGCTCTTCTCTGCATCAGCTGGAGTTCTAAATAATTCATGGAGAGTCAGAGTTCAAATCACATTTGCATTCACTTGGCTGGCTGCCAATATGAGAACCACCCCCTCTCTTCTAAGAAAGATCATGCAGAAATCAGAGTTGGAAAACTGACACGGAAGTATAAGGCAGCTCACAGCATGAAAATCATGTGCCAATTTTCAGGAAGAGTATCTGTTGTAGAGAGAAGTTATCCCTAATCTTTTCTTTCATATGGTTATTTACCATTTGCTGAGCACTTCCCACCTGTTCAGTGCTGTGGAAAGCTCTACTTTGCTTTGCCACTGGTCTCTGGCACTGCATTCTTTCAAGTTGAACACCATTTTTCTCATTTTTACAGACAATTTGACTCTGTCTACAACATCTGCATTTTGTGGCTGTGTCTACAAACTGCTTGGTAACAGAGCTTTGCAGTTGGACAGAAAACTGCATGTGGTGAAATCATCACTGCAAGACCACACATTATTTGAAGGTTCTGCAAGACAGGTTCCCCAATCCAAATCTCTGCTTGTATAACATGGAGTGATGTTTCCATAACATACGCAAACCACAGCAAATTGTCACAAAATGCTCTTTTCTTCTCAAGAGGTACCTATCAGCTCAGCTTTTTCTACGGTCAGTCACCATTTCCATCATAAAGTTCTAAGTCTTTACACTTATAACACATGGCAATAAAAGATCATGCCAAGACTAAACTTGGCATGCAAGTTCTGTCCAGAAGTAACCTCAATTAGGCTTTCTCAGCTAGCAAGTGAAGTGACTTAGTCATTTTTAAATCACTTGAAAATGAAAGCTGTAAAAGTTCTAATTCTAATAATTTTCTTGCAGTCACGGGTCCACACTTTCATCACCCTTCAACTGTTCAGCTGAAGCAGTTTGCAAGGACACCTTCTGAACCCCAATGTCCTGAGGAGGCTTTGTGCCACGCATATGCTGCTCCCTGCCTTGCCCTAGCACAGAGACTGAGGCTGAAGGAAGATGTTACAGTTGGATTTCTACGTGCAGTCCTGCCTGGAGCTCAGAACTGAAGATAACCTCAGAGTGGAAGAGATAACAAACTTGTGTGTTTCCCATTTGCACCACTGGAGATGACTGGTGCAGGAACAGGGATCTCACAGCCTTGACAAGCACATCTCAGACATATCACGGAATCACTTGGGAGTATTTCCAGGCTACCATACAGAGCTGTCTATATTTATCACTCTACTCTTTCATGAACTGCTTATGGAGGATTAGATTCATAAAAATCAGTCTTGCAAAGTGCTCTGGAACACTGTATTTTAACAGAAGGACAGTCTACTACAATACTTGCTCAGGCATTTTTATACAAGTAAACGTAGCAGAGGAATTCTTCAAAAGTGTTTTTTTTCTCTGCACTTCAGTCTAAGTTCTATCTGTTCTCTGCACCATTAGAGATTTGCAGTCTGCAACTGTTTAGAGGCTCCCGCTTGCACTGGGACTGAGCCTGCATCTGAACCCAACATCCACCAAGTTCCATCAGCGCATCATAAGGGCAAAGAGGTCTTTGCTAATGCATCCTCCTGTGGGATCTAATCTTCATCCATATGTGAAGTGATTTGTTTTGCCATCTGCATATTTCCAAGAACAAAGAGGAAAAATAAATTATCACTTCGCATATCTGCCCCATTCTGATTAATCAGGCACATGACGCATGTAAAGACTTTTTGGGAATACTTTTTGTTGCTGTCAAGCTTCAGCTGCTCTCTTTTCTAGAGCATTTCAAACCTTGCATACACTTCACAGTTCAGCTTTCCTGCTGCTACAATGTGTTAGCAATTAACGTACAACAAACAAGCAGACAATTGTTCCATTTCCAGGGAATAAAATCTCCGAGGGCATAAAATTAAACAGAAACTATGCATCCTTCCCCATATCCTAAGAGTTTAAAAAAGAGCAAGCAATTAACTCCCAAACACACTAGGTGGTTGAGGCCATAGTTAAACTGCAATCTGATATAAATTTTTATGCCTCCTGAAGTCCTGTCTTCTCCTTATTCTTAACTATTCACTTCCTGCTTCTCCTTGGTGTCAGCACTCTCCAGAGTTCAAGAGCCCCATGGTAAGGTGGGCCAGAGAGCTGTCTCTACCAAAACCAAGGGTTTTTAGCTTAGTTTAGCTTTCAGCTGGGCCAGCCCCTTGATGTGACTCACTGTAGTACCACATAAATGCCAAGGGAGAGGGTGAGGTGAGGTGAGGATTGCATAAGCTCTGTGACTGCCAAAGAAATGCTCATGTGAGCACAGCCCCAGTCCCAGTCTTCCTCCTGGGGGCAGAAATGTGAGTAGGAGCTTGCTTTCTCCACAGGCTTGTTTTCTGTCGCTCCCCTTTGGCAGTGGCAGCCTCCCAAATCCTCAGGGTCTGGAGCAGCTTCTCTGGGTAGCAGGACTGCTGAGAGATGCTGGGAAAATCCCAGCAATACAGCACTAATGATCAGCACTTGTAGCAAGACAAATATAACCAAAGGACACTGCTCCAATCTGCTGCAAGGCAAGTGAAGTTTCTCCTTTGTCAAGATGCTGTCACTGCTTCCCCAGACCAAGAGCTGAAGGAGAAGGTTATAGGGTTGAGAAAATGGACCCTGAGAAGATGAGGAAGAAAGCAAAATTAAAAATTATAACATATTGTTACACTTTCATTTGAAAATCTTTTCCCTAAGCAGATCCTGTCCTCCACAGCCAGGGGTCACTAAAAGATGAGGATTTTCCTGCTGCCTGAAGTGAATTTCACTAGGAAAAATGTCAAACGCAGCTGACTGGCTAGTGGTTTCCATCTCTTTCAAACTCTACACTGCCCTTTGTTCTGCACGAAACATGACTTTGGAAAGCCCAGGGAAACTTGGGGGCTGCCCAAACAGTTTAATAAACACTGACTTAAAGGAAGTGCATTTGCCCAGTTGACTTCTTTTAAAATGTCGCCAAGGCACACATTATTTCGGGTCGCTGCCATACTTCAGTTAATACCTGCTGCAAAAAAGCTACTCTCAGTACGATCTGTGTGATGGGAAGAAACATGTAACTGGCTGAATGCACCCTAGAACCACCTCTGTCCCAGAAAGGAGCAAGAGTGAAGTGCTGAGTGTTGTTTATAAACAAACTGAGGCTGGACTGACAGCTCTTCCAGAAGACTGCTTCTCTTACTTAATGGTACCTTACGGAGTCAAGGAAACACAAGTTTAATATAATAAATGCAGAGCTTTCTGTTTATCTATATGCTCCACAGACCAACAGAACTACTAGTATGCTTGGTGTACTTCACCAGCCACATCTTTAAAATAAAACTACTCAAAAAGTTGAGCAGGCAACTCACACTGGGACAACATTCAACTGTCCATGTACACCAGATTTACAGGTCTCCCGTGTCAATCTGACAACTCTGAAAGATTCAGGCAGGGAAAAGATTTAGCTCTATAAATACTATTGATCTCTTTCCACTGGCTACAGATGAATTCAGTGTAAAAGAAAAGCACATAGCTAAGACTGGAAAAATACAGAGTTGGGTTTTCAGAAGTTCTCTGCATCTGTCTAGTCCTGCTCTAGTTTGAGCAGGTTAAGTCCCATAACTGAGCACTTTTGGAAGTCAAAACATGACTTCACTGAGGCTTCTTGGAGCAAGACGGTACGTACACTAAGATGTATTACAGCCTACAGAATAAAAACAGTGGTTGTGCTCCTTTGCAAGCCTCGTGGCATGAAACTCAGCTGTTTTGCCCTGCACAGGTTCCCCTAACTGTTCACTTGGTTTTGATCCATCTGGATTTTCATCGAAGAATTTTGCTTTGAGCTTACAATGTGAATACATGAAAGTTCTGCCAAAACCACATCACATTCAAACCACAGGAAATCATGAATTTGGCACGGCTTTGACATGGAAGCTGTAAACAGTGTGCAGGTTCACTTAAAAGTGGATCACTGTTCTTTGAGTTATGAAACACAACAAAACTTCCAGCAAACCAGGTCAGAATTCTTAACTACTAAAGCAAAAAGAAAATATATGACTTTTGCATGGATCAGGATTTTATTAAATATTATCCCCTAGATTTTTTTCCTTTAGTTATAAACATAATATGTGAATAATAAAAAGAGAAGTTGGGTTCCCTCCTTTCCAAGTTTGAATTAAACTAGGATTTAGCTAATTCTCATAGCTATAACATACACATATCCTATTAAAAAGGAGGTAGTTTCCTACTGGCAGCTTTGAGCATGAATAATTGTAAAAGTCAGAGTTATAGTGGGTATATGAATATGGTTTAGTTTTATGTGCAACATGATAGGTAATCAACTTACTGGTAAGTTACATGACTGCTATAGGAGTAAGCCTCCTGTTCAAAATCCACTACATTTTCAGTTGCCAAATGTTGGATTTTTTTCCCCGGGATTCCAGTTAGCAAACCACAAGGAATGTTCACAAAAATGGAAAAGTCTAAAGTATGATTTTCGATTTCAAATCAAACATTGCCCTAAAAAAACATGTATTTGTAAAGAAGTCACAAGATCATTGAGGATAAAATGAAAACAGCCCAGACATCCAGACCAAGCCTGAGAACAATCCAGATTCCAAGCCAGAAGTTTGAATGCAGAGCTGTGTGAAGATGGTTTGACTGAAGACAAACAAACAGGGAGCAAAATATAGTCATGCAAAAGAAGATTTATATTACTGCACTGCCTGCAAGAAAACATCTTAATCTTGCTGAATTTCATTTTTTACCAGGCTTTTAAACCAGGCATTCTGAATGTCAGGAAAAACTCTGCAGGGATCCATAATGCACAGAACCATACATCAGACATATCTGACCTGTCATGGAGTTTTCAGAGGTACACAGTTGTTCTCGCAGCTTTTCCACATCGTCTGGGTGAACCTGCTCGTACAAAGTGCTGCCAAACCACTCAGACTGCGGTTGGTTCAGCACGGGAGTCACAGAATCTGATACGTAGATCACTCTCCCCGTCTCAGCTGCAACTACAAACAGGAACCCATCTGCAGCCTCCAGGATAAGATGTTTCAGTTCCTTCCAAAGAAAGGATTTGATTAGAATGCCAGCAAGAAAAGGGAATTAAATAAAACATCTGTCCCTGTCAAAGAACATTGTTTTCTTGCGATCTTATTAGCTGATCAAAACCTAATGAAGACAGAAATTTGCACTGTAGTACTGAGGTGAAAGCACAACCAAACTTGCAGCAAGGCATAAACTGCCGATCTTAATAACAAACAACACTATGTTTTCCTTTATTGCCTTTCATCTGGCGATCATCTGGTGTACTTTGGGAAAATCAAGCAAGTAATACTCACTGCATATTGCATGATAGGCATCTAACATTATTTATTTTTAAAAAAAGATATTTTGGAGTACAAACAGAGGAAATGAACAGCTCTAACTCACATAGCAGATTCATTCCTTAATTACATGTCCTGAATTATTTAATTGGAAAGAAACCAACAAGACTTTCTAGTTTGGTTTCCCCTGGCCCTTCTCAGGATGGGCTCTGTTTGTAAATTAAACAGTCACTGGATAAAAGAAAAAGTGTAATGGGAACAAAGAAGGAATCCCCAACCTCCTCCTCCATTAGGGAGCCTGAGCTATTGTACAAGAGGTTGTATCACTTCTTGCTTTTGTTTTCCAGCCTGTGCATATTAAGCCTCAGAGATTCAAAGGGTCTAAAGCAACCCTGTCTTTGTCCTTTTCTTCACATGGTCCCCTACTCATCATCCTGGGTGATTCTGTCCTGAGACACCCGCACATCCACCAGAGATGCAGCACCCAGAGCCCTGACCCCACCTGGAGGACTGGAAGGGAGACTGTAGGCCTTGAGACAGGTACTTCTGTCCCTCACTTTCAGACACTGGCTTTAGACACCCAATACCTTGAACTGCACGTGCAAACAGCTGTTTGGGTAATCACCCAAAAATACTACCTTTGCTTAACAGAGTTTGAAAACCTCCCACAGGAAAGGATGACAACTACCACTCCCAACTCCTGGAAGATAAGCCTTTGGTGGCTCCAGTGACCATATATACTGCATTATATAATCCAATATAAATACTGCATCTGGAACTCAGAGAGCTCTGGACAACAGGAATCTCATTCCAAGTGAGACAGCTCAGCAGGGCTAGTTTGCAAGTGGTAGATATTTGCTCACAAGGTGAGGATCAAAAGCTGGTGAACTCTACTAAGAAATGGATAACTCATCTCAAGGAATACTTAACAAAGTGTAAACTTCTGCTGCTTTATTACAGAGAAAGAACATCAATCCTGAACCTAAACAGAACCTAAACAGAAAACCTCACTGCACAGCTGGGCGTGCTGTGCAGAGGATAATATGACCAGCTTTGCATATGTTATTAATAAAGATGGAAATGAACTCAGTCATTCTGCAAGATTTAAAAAAAAAAAAAAAAAAACAACAAAGAAACTGCAATGAGAAGCGACTAGGGGGTGCCACCAACAGCCAGTGGAATGGCACAGTCCCTCCAGAAACACGCTTCAGGAAAGCCAGAATAAGTGGAGATGCGAGCACTGAGAGGTCAGTAGCAGCTGTGGTCTCTCTCATAGAAAGAAGCATTGCCTCTGGCCACAACTTACACGTGTAAGTGCTTAAATCCTTTCAGCCCACAAAAATGCACATTACACTCATAGGACTTCAAAAACAATGGGGGTGGCAGGAATTTCAAATGCACTCGGTTAAACACAGTTTTCCTTCAAGCACTGGGTGCATCTCTTTTCTTCCATCAAAAATGTAACCAAGGACTAGCTCAGTACAGCCAGTACAAATGGGATTTCATCTCTGCCCAGTTCAGCTGCTGGGAATTTCACTATTAAGGCTAAACAATGTTTTTAACCTTCTTCTAACACCCAGAGGGACAGGAAGGTCTTTCCAGACTCATTTTTTACTTATTTTAGAGAATCTTTGTTAGTATGGGAAGAACTCAGACCTGAAGGTGAATATTTCTTTCCGAGAGGTAGCAAGTGCCTTGTTTTTCAGACAGACCTCAATGGTGAGAATGCCAATTTGCTTCTTCAAAGAGGAAGATCTGTCATAGTGTTAAGATCAAGTCCAAGCAGTCACAAAAAATTGACAGTATTCACACCAGAGAAAACAGACAATCCTTGAAATTCTACCTGTTCTGTAAGAAACGAAGGCTTGTAAGCTCCATCAGTGGATTTGTTTCCAGTGCCTCTCATTGATTTCATGTGTGAAACGGCCATCCGAAGAATTGTCAGCTTGTCAGGCTTGCGAGCCAAGGCGCTACAGGTGGGTACCATGTCAGACAGCTCAGTGATGTACTGGGTCATCTTATTCCTCCTGCGCCTCTCGATTTCACTATGATTCTCCCTGAACATTTAAAGAAACACCAAACCAACAGAAAGGAGACATGAGCAGTGTAAGAATTCAAATTGGAGGAAACGAATCGTGATACTTTGCACTTCTTTCGCTGTTTGCACCCCAGGAGAGCAAAACCCTTTACAAAGCAAACCACTATTATCCCTCCAGTTTACAGACAGAAAATCCAGGCCACAGACAGACAAATATGATTTGTCCCTAGCTGTGAAAAGAACCCATATTTCTAGTTATTGGCTTGTGACCTCAATCTCTTAACCAGCTTAATCTCCTTTGGCTTAAGGACAAAAATGAAGTAGAAAGATATGAGGAACTGACATCTGTCAACTCCAGCCAAACTCCCAAATTTGCTGAGATGCATCTTGCAGCTTCCAGTCCTTACTCAAGATGTTGGATCTGCTTATAAAAGGTGTCTTTTAGAGGAAACCTCTCACTAACAGCTGGATTGGGTCAGCAGTGTCAGCGCTGACTTACAAAAAAAACCCCATTCAATGACACACAGATCTCTATTCCTGAAATGCTCTCTGGAACATCCCACATCCCTGCAGGGAGTAACTACATGCCTGCAGGATCAGACTGCAGGACTGGGACCATATATGGTATAACAGTACATACAAAAAAAAATCCCAATAAATAAATACATGAGTATGAAAGACAGCAAGTAAACATCTGGCTTGTCAGACATAGACTAGAATTTATGTTCAAGAACAATCTAGCACAGCAGGGAAATAACAATGACAGTATTTGATGCTGCCCAAGTTGGGCTGAGCTCCAATGTTATCATCCTTTAGAGGAAACATATGACTGAGGTGGTGGGTCAAATTTGAGAATTCTCAAAATGGACAGCCACCAAAATCTTCCAGAAATAAAGATCTGGGAGTTCAGTTTTCCCATTCTGGAAATCACCATTGTTTGATCACTTTAAGGAATCATACCAATATATCCAAAATGGTCCAAGTGGACCTAGAATGCTTCAGTGCTTTGCACTCGTTCTTCTCATACTGTACCTGTCAGGTGGCAGCTAAATACAAATACACGACAGGTAGATGGTGCTTCAGTTGTCAAAGCAGCATCTTCCACTCATTTCAATGAGCTGAGCATGGCATATTCTTGTGGGATCGCTGGCTGATCCAACAAGATGTGAGAGGTGATCACTTGGAGAGTCCACCAGCTTTGACTGATGCAATAACACAACATTAAAAGAAACTGGAACATTCTTTAGAGCTGACTGCTATGAAGACTGATCACGAAAGCAGAAGATAGGCTTGGCACACTTTTTGGTTTCTTTTAAGAATGAAGCCTTTTCTTAAAATGCAGGAAATAATCTGAGTTGTTGCATGCTGTTTCCTGACACAGAGGAATGCACGGGCTTGCATTGTGTATCCTGCCCCTGCACATACAGGTGTTACATGCACGAGGCACTGTCTCCAGAAATACTCCTTGTTAGGGCTACATGCAGAGTTATCACTCCTACTGATGCCTGTGCTTACTGTGTGATACTCAGGAAACCCAGCTGCGGGTGCCTGCAATGACAGCCCGTGGCTGCTCAGTAAATTCCAGCCAAGCCTTGCCTAAAGGTCACTATCTATTACACTGTAATAGTGAACCTTTCATTTCACGTGGCTGATAAACAGCCTTTGTGTGGGTCTGCACAGATGTGGAAGTTGGATCATATACACACTCGTGAGCAGAAGAGCTTGTGTGACAGTGCACATGTACATACAGCCCACCTGTGTACATGTCAGCTCATACATGCAGGTAAATATGGACAAGGGGGAAAAAAAAAGCATTTTTACATGATGAAAGCTTGCTCTAAGTTCAGCATTTTCACAGAAGCGGTGATCAAGAAAGAGAGACAAAGAACAGACATATTCAACATATATTTTACATTTATAAATACATATGACATTGTCTGCTGCTAAAGTATTTTAATACTCCTGAACTTCAAAAACAACCATTATACAGAGTAAACAAAGAGACTGCAAAACTTTCTGAGAAGAGAAGAATATTCCAACAGCCCATTTCATTTATGATCATAAAAGCTAAGAAGTAATAGCATGTTAATCTACTGGCTGTGAAAATGTTCCAAAAAACAAAAACCCCAACACTTTCCTGAAACGTGTTCAAATTTAAATCCTTAAAAGAAAAAGAGGGGCTGTGGTCCCCTTCCAAAAGTGTGTGTCCTAGGAATCCTGGCATTCATAAACATGTATACAGAACGATGTCCTAATTCTGTCATTTCTACCTTTGCTTTTAGATAGAAATTTTGGAGGGACAATAAATTCTGGGATACTGGGGAGCTGATTCAAAACCACTTAGGGTTTGTATTTCTGATTTCAAGCACTTTTGGATCCGCCATCCATTCTGACTTTTGATCAGTCAGAATGGCATCATATAAAGTAAAAATGGGGGCAAACAGTATTTGACTTCCCTTTTTCCTACCTGTGTCAGCAGTCCTTTGGTCATCATCCTACCTAAACAAAACAACCAGCTCTCTAAGCTAAGGCACACGTACTGACATTTTTTGGACACGAAATCCCCCTCTTTTCTCTCAGCAGAGGAGCTCTACAGGACACGCCTACCTTGCAAACTTTTCCTTATCACCAGAGATTTGATCACCATCATACCTAGAAACAAGAGATAGGATATCAGTCAACAAGGGTCACACATTGCATTATAGCCAACACACAGCCAGAAAGCAAAGAGGTTCACAACTGCAAACTATTACAAATAACAGCAAGAAAAACGAGGGAATGAGAATGGTACAGCAAAGAAAACACAGAGCCTGATGATACTTCCAAGCCATGCCGACTAAAACGCTTCATTTGTATATTTAAAAAAGTAGAAGACACATTTCAGTGGATTTATGCAAACACTCTGACATACACTGATTGCTTAGGAAACTTGACAACCAGCACCATTACAGAAAACACCAGTGAGCTTTTGTCGACAGCAGCCCATGAAATATTCATTGCTGTGTTGGAAGTGAACGAGCTGTCTCTGTTCCAGCTTGCAACCACAGCCCGCTCCATTCAGCAGAGGGCACTGATGGTCTACAGATAAGACAGGAGGGCAGAGACACGGCTGAAGAGCGATGTGTTATGTAAGGACGCCTTCCGAAAAAAGTTTTGGAGGTACAGACACTGTACTGGTTGTTGTGGAGACCAGGAAAACTCAGGCAGGCAGGTGAAACTGCTGGGTAAATAGAAGTGAAATTTAAACTGGCTTAAATCCCTAGAAGTAAACAGGTACCTCATTCCTACACAAATCAACAGAGGCTGGATGCCCCGCCGGGTACGTGCAGTGCACTGGCAGCACCTTTATGGAGGAAATCCAAACCAATGGGACTTTTGCCCTGTGAGACCAAAGCTTCACTGTTTCTAAACCATTGTCCAAAGACAGGCAGCAATGTGACATTTCAGCAAAAAATGACATGCTGCTCCTCTTTCCCTTTCCTAAAAAACATTCCTATCATCTGAAATTAGATTTTGCTAGCACAGTTACAAAAAGACACATCTGTTTGAAAAAGCTCTTACTTTTGGAGAAACCAAATTGCTTGTTCCAAAACAGAAAATGCAGGTTTTGGAAAATACAAAAAATAAAGGAAATGTCTTTTCTTAAAGTGAAGGGTGCTACCGCTCAAGAATATTTAAGTGAGATTTTGTATTAGAATTATACCTTTCCAAAATGATGTAATTTATTACAATAGACAGTGTATGAAGGTCTCTTGTATTAATAATGAAGTAACGCAGACTAAATAAGCATGTTTTTCTCTTCTAAAAAACTAATAATGAACTTTTCTTTTTTTCTTCTCGAATTAAAACAGTTCCTCATGAAGTTTCATATTTTCCTTCCTCATTAAGACTCAAACACTGAAGACAAAGCTTAAGCAAGACTTGAGCTGTCTTTATGCTGTATTTAACACCAGCACCCTCAAAACATTCAAGTGAAAATGCCACTTTATTCCCCTTGACTCTGCCCAGAGAACAGACTGAGACTAAAAATTATCAACAAAGAGACAGATTCCATGAGGAATGGCCACACGCCACTATGTGGGAAGCACATGCACACGGCTCTGTGTGAGGATGAGATGCCATGCAGAGATACCTGAGCTGACCTGGAAGTCCCTGAGAAGCAAAGTGTGTTAACTCACGTGGAGTACTGTACTACACCACTACTCCTGTGCTCCCACGAGCCTGGGGCTTGTCTACTCATCCTTCTCTGCCTGACTGGGCTGAAGATGTTATTGCCTCCAACTACTGCTTTTTCACTTCCAGTCTCCCAGCTGACCTTTCTGCACACATGCTCCTTCAGGCACTTCAGTCAAAGCCAGCTGGGTTAGCTTAAACATTTAAACAGCAGTTCTTTGCTAAACAAATAGTTTTGACTGAGACAAGCTAGGAATCAGTCATGTGAGCAATGTGGAGAAGAGAAAAGTTAGAGACAGAAAGAGCATAGCCAGAAGAGGATGTCTGAACATAGCCGTGGGTTGTCTCTGCACCGTTTTTCTGTGCTCTCTAAAAAGAGGCAATCTGAGGTCTGCAGAGCATTTCAGATTTAAATACCAGATTTTGATCTGACATATAAAATCAATCGAGTCTAAGCACATCACAGCATACCTCTCCAATAAAACTAATGGAACTGTTGGCTCAACCCACCAGAAAACTTTGAAAACCGAAAGCCAGGATGGAGAAGGACCAACACATGTTCACCGCTGTGCCTAGAAACCCTGATGCTTATGCAGGCACAAATCAGGTCCCATTTATCAAAAGTCTTGTTCCCTTAACATGTATCTTCTAGCAAATATTAGGACTAAGCCCTCAGATCAGCAGTTTTAACATAAGCAAGGACTGGAGTAGCCTTTCTGTAAATGACATCAGCTCAACAGGAGTGCTGCTGGTCTTGTCCGGTACATTATGATACAGTGTTACAGCATATCTTCAGCACACTTATCTTTCAGACTGACTTGGAAGATCTTGTTAAACCCTACAGTGACAGCTCTGTTTCAACATGGCTGCTGCTAGAGAGCTGCAATTACAATTCGGATAATCAGCAGTTACCCACAAGCCTCAAAGTGTCTACACCCCTCACTGCAGCTGCTTGGTTTCTAATGAAAAAACGCAAACAGTGTGACCAGAAATAAAAAGGAAAAGTGAAAAAATGGCAATGATGCTTTACTGTTTATTTCTAGCTTAGAATATTTCACGTTAATTAACATCTATTTTGTCAATTTTTACTATTCAGTTACGCCTAATGGTACGTTATGTAAAGCTCATTAATCTTTAAAAAAAACAATCCACCTCTAGGATCTGTCAAACTGCCTTAACAAGCAGTTAACATCTGAAATAAATTAGAAATAAAATTCCATTTTCAGTGGCAGAAAGACAACTTCAGCAATGTCAAATAACCAAAGTACATCTACAGCAGTTGAAATAATAAGCTAAAAATCACAGATTTTCTCATTTCACGTAGCTGCAGAGTGAAATTATGACACACACACACTGTCAGCTTTATAAGCCAGTAACTACATTAGGCAGATTTCTACAAAGATGCCTAATTTGCAGAGGAAGCTGATAAACACAGTAACTAGAATTTGGGTCAAGTTGTTGGCAAGTTCTTCAGCCACATTCATACTGACTTTAAAACACCAGTAGTGAGACAGCTGTCTTTCTTCACTGAGAGAAATCAGTCATTTGGTTGACTCTCCGTAAATGCTCACCTTGAAAATTTGCTGGGCCCCTCCCCATCTTCATCATCAAAGTCCATTCTGTGAAAGCAAGATTTTCAAATCAGTAATCAAGACATTGGCAGTGGGACCATGAATATTCAAGCCAGTGGTTCTCAAACTTGTTTGCTTTGTGTTTTGACTTGAGGTGTTAACAACTGCAGATTCCAGTCTTGCTCATATTCTCCAGATCTAGAAGCAGCTCATTAGCTGACTTATGTCCCAGACCTCCTTCTTAAGTCAGCAGAAGAGATGAGCTCTTCATTGGGCCAAATCCCAGCCCTCCAGTTTGGCTTCTCCAAGGAGCCACAAAAAGTAGGAACCTCTTTCTTCGCTTCTCACACAGAATGCCTGGGAAGATTAACTTCCTAAATTAGACACCTAAATCAGTTTCCTACGTCAGGCAGTGTGATTGCCTCCTTCCCATTGACATTAAGCCACTACAAATATATAATTTCCAAAGCATTCTATAAATTTTTATACTTTAAAAAAAGATGGACAAATATCCTAAACACAAGGTGGTGACTGCCATTAACTTAGAGTAAGAACCAAGCTGATTACCATATACAATTATTGTATTAGTGTATTTATTTTAGTAAGAAAATACATTAGGATGATATACAGATCTTGATCAGTCACTTTAATCTGTGTAGACAGAAAATCATTGATCTGTTTTGTAAACAACTTTGTCAGATTTCTTTGACATTCTATGTTTTCTAACATTTCAGTGTAACAAAACTTCATACAATTACAGATTATATACGTAACACTTCATATTAACAACACGTATAAGTCCTATTACAGGCAAAATCCTTGCAAAGTGACAATGATACTTATCTCAGTATTAAAAGAATTCCTACCAATTGCAAGTTGAGATTTCTATGTTTAGTGTGTGGGAACAATGATGTAAAAACGCTCTCTAGAACTACATCTGCATAGAGAAGCACAAGTGCCAGTCAGGCAGTACTGCCTCGCTTCCTAATTCTTATAACCAAGACAGACTAGCCCATAAAAGATGTGTCTGAGTCACAGCAACCTCCCTATAACTGGGACAAAGGCAGCAAATCAGCACAGGAATTGGACACAATATTAGAAAAGTTACAGTAATATTTTCCAGATGGTTACAGTGATTATTCATTTCTGGAGAAAGCGGAGGGAAAACCATTTTCCCCAAAGAGTCTTAAGAAAAGCTGTGTATTTAACTTGCTTAACTTTGATGCAATCATCATTTTCATTATAAATTACATCTTTGCTCACCTAATTACCACCAAATCCGGTTCCAAAGTCCGTGATCCCTTCAGCTCCCTTGTGCAGAACATCACCGACCTCCAGTGGCCAGTGCCCTCAGCCGTGTCACGGGGCTGCAGCTAAGCCAGGACCCAGCTGCTGCTGTCACCCCAAATGTGCCTTCAGTGCTGACACCACCAGCAGCCCAAATTCCCCTTTGACCACAGACAGTACTCCCAGCAATTCAACATTTACATATTACTGTCTGGCCACAGGTCTCTCCTCTTACCTACCTGCTTCTTCTCCACATATAATAATGTGCCTGCAGTGACACTGCAGAACAAACTTCCGACTTATTCTAATTGCAGTGTTTCTACCTACACTGAAAATGTGAAAGTCAATGTTACAGGAGAGCTGTTTGTCCCTAAGTGGAGGGCACACTCAGACCAGCACTGGGCTGGCTCCACCCAAAGCCTCTCGCAAAAGCATCACATCCAGCACATCCTTCACTGAAACACAACTGAGAGAAACCTCCAGTTTCAAACCGGGGAGAAAAGGGCTGTAGAAAAAATACACACCTATGGGGAAAAGCCTTCCTTCAGGGATTTTATGAAACATTGCTTTAATCTGGGACAGATGAACTTTGTAACTCCTTTCCTTCCTCTCCAGTACACAGATCTCATGCCTTGGTAGATATGATTCTAGGATTTTCTTAGCTTCCAGCCAAATACTCCAGCTGAGTGGATTTTCCCCAAAAAAACCCAAAAATTTAGCTCTACTGCATTTAGTCTAGTTTATTATTTCTGTAGTACAGTGCAGAGAATTACAGAGAAGCTGATGACAGTTAAAGGCTTGATCCTGCTGCCCACACTGTGTCCCCACCTCTGAAGGAGTAAGGGGGACCAACACACCTATTTATTGAGATGGATGAATATCAGCTTCTCACCTTAGATGACAACTTACCGTAGGTAACAACTCCCACATTTCCAGTGGGTTCATCATGTCATAACCCAAGTGTGTAGAGTGTAACATCACCCTATACCCTAAATCTTTAAATAATGCCTTTGCTCTGTTAAACTATCCAAAATCCTCTATTCCAAATGCAATATTATAAAAAAAACCCAGATATGAACATAAAGTCCATTAAAAATATCAATACTTGTAAAAAATGCAACAGCAAATGTATCTTTGTCTCACCCTTGTTAATAAACACATCTCCTAATCTCATATTTCACTGTGCAAAATGAAAAAACACTTTTGAAACATAAAAAAAAAAATCTCAGTTATAAAGTCATTGATTCCAATGTCCTGCTTGATCCACTGTGTCTGCTTTACAGTGAGGCAGAGGGGAAGACAGTGAATCAGTTGTAACCTTTAGCAGAACACAGCAGAACACGTAAAAATAATATTCCATCAACCTCCTCATACCCTGACAGATAAGATCTTCTGTTTAGATAGAATATACTGCACATTAGCAAAACAGTAGAAGCAGCCTCCCAGAAGACAAATGACATCATTTCAGAAGATTCAGAAAGACTATCTTTTATCTTCATTTAAAATTCCCATTAAAAAGAGGCTTTAAAAAGAGCTGCACTATGCTCTTTTGTTTTGAAGAGACAGCATAAATCTTGTTTTCCTCTTTCATGCTGTTCACATCAATCGTGAAAAGGCCTGATGTATGAGGTACTTATTAAAATGTATTTTCCTTAAAAGATGTGTGGGTACCATAAATACAGTGATAGGAATATTTTTAAAAAATTAATTATTCTCAATTATTTTCATACAAAAAACCCCCTAAAACTCTCCAATAAGGTCGACCTGCACAGGTTAAAAAATTGAGATGGGAGAGAATTTCAAGACTGCGACAAAATTACTATGTAAAATTCCCAAGAAATGTCAAAAGATGCTTGCCATGATTATACAGTATAGGAAGAGGACAGACAGGAACGGTCAGGAGCAGATGCAGCTGAGAGGCAGAAGGGGATCTGTACTACAGCCTTTTGTTCAGTAAAATATTGGGGGGAGTACAATGGTGGGCTGAGGTCTCTTTCTCCCCAGATCTTAATATTTCTGGGTCAAAGAACAGACCAGAACAAAACCAATGCAACTGAAACCAAATAATCAAAAAAACCCCCTCAACCCTCCCTGCCCAAGTACAGACGAGCCAGGAAGGTGAAAAAGCCCCTTATTCTCTAATACAGCAAAGCCTAAATTAAAAACACATTAAATAAAGAACTGAGGGTGCATTAATCTAAGGTAGTCATTGACCACTGCAATGCATTATCTTTTGCTGTCACTCTTTTCTATAAAGCAGTTGGTGTAATTTATAGAAAGGAAAAATATTTTCCCTATCTGTCAATGAAGCCAAATGCCTACACGGCAGAAACACCTTCTGGGTAGCCAATGAGTTTAAACTGATCTACATTCAAGTCCATACAGCAATTATTCTGCCAGCTTGCCTCAGCAATTATGAGAAAAGAAACAATTTTCAGAGATAACCAAAACTGGGAAAGCTGGCTGTGTACATCAGCTCCGTTCCTTTATGTCTGACACAAAGCATTCATTTCTAAAATGCCCAAGGATTTTAGGTGTACAAAGATGTATCGTCAGGACAGTAATGAAAGGACCAAGTGTTAGTTGCAACTTTGTTCAAAGACAGGCTTGGAGGAATCAGACACAGCAGGCATTCTTTCCCTCAAGGTCTGAATACACACACACTGAGCATAAAAAAAAAAAAGTGCACCCTCAGCTCAGGCTTGGGGAAGGGCTATTAGTTCAGAGCTGTGGTGCACAGATGAAATACCACCATCTGGGTATAAAAGCAAATCTGTACTGACTCACTGAATTTGCATGTTAAATACATTTAAAATAATTTGATTTTATGTTCCTCTACCCCTCCCCTCACTCCACCTTCTCACAAATAGATGCAAATACTTAAAATGCAACGGTTAAAGCATTTTAATTAATATCAAGTCAGTATTTAATATAATCAGACTATTTCACAGTCAGCAGCATCAACTCTTGGCAACAGTAAATTGCAAACTGGTACTCACAGTTGACATGGTTTATGATCAAAAAAGAGATCAAATATCCTGCAACTCAAAAGTACAAAAGCTTATCTATGTTAGGTAGCAATGAAAATATGTTAATGCTTTGTTTTCTCTTTTGAGTGCAAGCTTAAAAAGGTTTTTTCATTCAGCAGCTTGAAAATGAAAATGTGATGCCTGTCAAAGACAGATTTCAGGAGTCTCTCAGACCGGTTTCATACACTTAGCTCAACAAAGGAAGGACACTCACTGTGAGCAGATCTCCAAACTGTTCTGTTCAAAGGAACCTGGCTCGGAACAACCATCAGGAGTGTTCACGTCACACCAAATCAGCTCCCCTTTAGAGGCATAGTCCATCTTCTCCCTTGTTAATTCACTCCAAGATTGAGAGTCCAGCACTGTTACTTGAGCAGACACCTAAAACTGGCAACGTACCTTGGCAAATAATCCCTAGAGTAGCCTCACAAGGAATAATGTCTTTTCCTTAGGTGGCCATCATTGAAGGTTTTACTCACACTATCAACCCTGTTAAGCCCTACCACTGTCTTATTTAGGACCAAATGTAAGACTAATCAATCTCAGACCAGGTATCTCTGAGAAAGCATCACCACCGTTGATAAAAACAAGGGTTTACTGTTAATACTAGAGAGAAGTTTTCTACTCTTCTGAAGCTCTTGCTACACTTTTCTTCTAAGACAGAAGATTACTGTGAGTTTCCACAGAACAATCTGATGTGGAAAACCTATAGCTGTACCACATCAACCTCTGAAGTTCCCTGGGTCCTCCTTCCTCTTTAGCAAAGCCCCCAAACTTGTCTAAGGGCTGAATTTGATTCAGGTCTTTCTCCCAGCAGCAGACTGTGCTGCACTTCCAGAGAGACCCAGAATATCATAGTCCATGATCCTTGAAGTGAGACTGTTCATGGTATTTCTGTACCTGGAACTATAAGGAAAACATCTTTAAACAAGCCTCCATTTAAGAGATTTCAAGTGAAACCTTCAGGTGAAGCTGGTTAAGTCTGCATGTACAATCTTGCTGCTTTTATTCACATGATAAATCATTTTGGGATTAAACAGATGTAGGCTATATGCATTCATTACATTTACAACAGTCACAGGATCCAAACTCCATTTCTGGATGCTTTGCCAAACCTGAAAGTCTTTTGGAACAAGCAAAAAAAGAAGCCACACACTTATCTGCATGTTTGATCTTGCAGGAGGAGCAGATATATTGAAGAGAAAAACAGAACATCAGTGACTAATGTCATAATGTAATTTAGATAGGTAAAACATTACATAATAAATGCACACATACATACAGGTACATTTTGAGTTTTACAATACCAGTAATTTCCAGTTCCAGACCTCAAAAAAAAAAAAAAAGAAACTACTTGCCCAGAGCGACGCTTTCCCCCTCTGGAAGGCATGGATCCTGCCATCCTCACTTGTCCACTTGCCATTGGAGCCACTGGCAAGGCCACCGAGCCGGGAATATCTGATGCCATTTCTGTAAGGCAGAGGTAGGGAAAGAGGTGGGGGAAATCCTTTAATCCGTTACCTTCAAGGAGAAACCCGTGATGACAACATTAGAGAAAGGCCCTTTCCAAAATAAACAGATAAAGTTTTCCTTTTTATTTCTAAAGGAAAAGTAAAGCTCCCCTACCAAAACCCTGCAGATTCACAGCTCCCTTGCAAGAAGCCCACTTGTGTCAATAGCCATTAGCAGTGCCTGGGAGACAGAGAGAACCACAGGTAGGTACTTCTGTATTTCAAGTGACCTGATGGTTCTCATATTACGTCTCCAAGGGGCCGTCAGATGGAGGCCAACAACCATTTTGCAACAGTTCAAGTGCCCTGTACAGAAATGCAGAGCTGAATTCCCAAGACAAATGAAGCTGTGGATCGTGGTACCAAGGTGTCAAGAAAAATAATAAAAAAAAACCTTCTCAGTTTGCCGGAGAGGTCAAGAGTTTATAGTAGAGATGAATTATCAGGTGACACTGGTTTTTATTATTTATGTTCTAGTGGCATTAGAGGACCAGACGGAACTTAGCAGAGCTTGAAGGTTTCCTTTACTTCTGTGTGGTGTCCTGCAGAGCAGAACCAAGCCCAAAATCCAGGCTGATATTCATCCCTCTGCCTGTGCCCGAGGTATAGCCATAGGTTAATGGGCTCCTCAAACCTCAAAACTTTGATCTGAGAAACAGCAAGAGCTCACCTTATGCAATGGTTTTCATACCACTAATGGCAAGTATTTTTAAAACCTATAAATAGCAGATTGTTACACTTCAAAAAAGAAAAGTGGAATATAACATATATATACCCTTTCCTTTTATCCCATGGATTAAGCATGGTTTTCCTCTGTGTAACTCTTATAAACTATATGAGCAATTATAACTTTTAAATGCAGATATACTTTATTCACTCTGGAGGTAAAATATACAGTCAAAACATTTAATTATCTTGAAAGAAAATGCATCTTTCTTCCAACTTTTCTTTTTACAAAATCTTGGCAAGTTATCTGGAGCTACAGCTAAATATAATTGCTAATGGAAAGCAAATCTGTTTAAAAAATCCTGCTATTTTTTTTTCCCAACAGATAAGTACAAAATAACTTCAATTATGGAAACAGGAATCCATGTTCTTTCATTATGTCTGGAGAGAACTTCCATCTCTGCCATACTTTATATACATCCATTATGCAATATTATGCATTTTAAATAATAACATTTTATCTGTTCACTGATTTCATGAATTTCTTCTAGTACATTTACTTTTATTAAGTCCTCTTCAACTAAAAAGCAACAGAGCAATATTTTTTAACAAAGTCTGCAAGGCCAAACAATGAGATCTCTGCCTAAAACCCCACACCACAAAAGGTCCCACTGTGGCTAAAGCTGCAGCTATGTGGAAACACAACATTAATGTACATTAGCATATTTCCATACAAATAAAAGCATGAGCAACCAAACAACAGCAAATCACTATTTCCAGAATAAGTACCCTTAGCAGTCTAATGCCCATAATTCATTCAGAACATTCAAACTCACATTTCATGGACAGAACTGAAGGTCATTTTGAAATGCTCCGCTCGCTCATTTATTAAAGCAGATGGTAAAAACCATAATAAATCTACCTACAAAGTGTCCCTGTCACTCAGAAACACATTTCAGTGTAGATCATCAAGGAGATCAGATTTTTTTAAAGCAGTAGTTGTAAAACAATTTCAGATCATCTCTCAGCAGTATTTTTAGAGAGCAAAAACAATACTGTTCTTGTTACTGTGATGAGAAATTCTTGTAACCTCATCTTCCTCAGTCTAAAACAAAGATGATGAAAAAACAGGTCAAGGGTCAGATTTATCTGACTCTTAAAAATCCAAAAGCCAAAGTTAATCATTTAAGGCAACTTTACAGATCAGTAGAAAGGAAACAAGGCCCTCTTGCACTCCCATATGCATCCCATGCTTGGAAGTACATCCAAAACAGGTTGAGCAAGCCTCTTTCTATAGGGCACTTGTTCTCACCACTGACAACCTGGGGAGACCCTGACAGATAGTTTTGATCATTGAGCAGTTTAAGTGGTTCTGGATAGGCAGAATGAGTTGTTTTTCTGCTCTTACATTCAGCCTTTCATGTATGAAGATACAAGAGGCAAGGGCAGCTAGCAGATTTCAAGTAGGAAGGACAAACAGAAACTGTGCATTTTTATAAGGAAAGAGAAAAAAAAAAAGTGTTAAAGGAATGGTCAAACCACTAAACAAGAGATTCAGCTATGTCAGTGTCCAAAAATACCTGGAAGAAAACATATTGCAACAAATAGATCACCTGCATAAAAGGGTATAAGCCAAAGAGTTACTGTATAAGTACCTTGATTCCATAGACTGGCACATCGAAAACAGTGCAATATCAAAAGTAACTTCTTACAACAAATAGCCTTCACATACATCATCATATTCCTGGGAGAACAAAACCAAGCTCATTGTGCTGACTGCTCTAAAAAGAGGTCTTCAAAAATTTCCACTTCCCAAATATAAGCACGAGAAAAAAAAAAAAAAAATCAGGGGATCCACTCTCACTTATCCACATGAAAGCTCAGATAAGAGGGAGGAAAGGTTCAGGTCCTTCAAATCACAAGACTTTCCATTGAAGTTATGACAAATCTGCACATATATCAGTGTGTAAGACACCCAATTCACCTTTCCATTTCAGAGTTTCCCACGTAAAAGAGACACCAGCCCTTGTGTGGCCTACTGCAGCTTTCGTGAGACCCTCGAGGGTAGACATACACTGCTAAGAAAAGCAGTCACTTTACAAGATTTCTTCCCTTACACAACAGAATCAGAGCTCTGCAGTTGGAGAAACCAAGAGGGCTGGGTCTCTTCATGCAGCAAATACAGGAAAGAAAGCAACTCCAAGAGCAACAGCACCACAGAGCAGGGACCACCCTGAACGTGACCTTCCCCAGAGAGGGCAGCCAGGGCAGCAGTGAAGCACATCACACATAGTCTTGGTGTACAGTGACAACAGAGCACCACAGGAAGACTTCAGGAGCAGAGATGACAGCGTGACTGAGTGCTCAGCTGCAGCCAACAGGGTGTTGGAAGCCCTTATCGAAGTTGGGCTGCGGCACAGAAACATAAACAATAAATTGTGGCAAAGTAAAAACTTTGCTCACAAAAGGACCAGCTCTCTGCTGAAGGCTGCAAGAACTGGGGAGACAAAGGAATGGATACGAACTGCTTCCCAAATTAATTTCGTCTCTACTCATTCACAAGCACATAAAAACGACAAGACCTTGATGATATTTTTATATTTGTAAAATACAGCTGGTGAGAGAAGTAGAAATGTTATCTGAGAAATGAGGGCCAACCTGGGAAGGCAGGGCCAGAAGTAAAATCTCATGGAACCATCAGCTGCTTCTCTGACCAAACACCTGAGAAGTTACCTGTCTGGGCGTGCTCAGGAAAGAAAACCAGAGAGGAAAAAAGATACCCATAAATTGGAGTCTCAGATAGAAATACTGTAGTAGAGAGGTATTCCAGGGAGCCTATTACCACGAACAAAACAAAAAAGGTGTCGTGTGTACATTGGACACAGACCTAAAAAAAAACCCAACATAAAAAACTCTAAGAGTAACCTGCAACTGTGTGAAGTTACATCAACATAAATTGAGGGCAGTCCCAGTTACTCTGCTGGAGCATAAACTGCTATGAAAGTCCAGCACTGCAGAAGGGTGTTAAGTTGGTTACTGAGATATATATATATATAAAATCAATATAAAAATATAAAAATATAAAAATATAAATATAAATATATATATATATATATATATATAGGACATGCTGGGTCAACAATCGTAAAGATCATATTTCCAGGCTCATATAAGCAAACCCACGTTAACACTGATGTTCACAGAAATGTTTCAGCTGCAACAAAAGTTACGAAACAAGCTGTTCTCTTTTTGAGATTGAACGTTCCATGAGTGGACTTTCCTTCTGCCAATGGAAATAGAACAAGTGTTGCTTACTTTACTCAAAATTAAAACATGAGCATAAGGGTATAATTCTCAGAAAGTAAAACAAGGTCAGGCTGAACATTCATGAAAATCATCTGCAAGCATCAAGGCAGTGTTCTGAACAAATTTATTTTAAAATGTTCTTTAGCATTAAATATAAGTTACTTTTTTCCTGAAAAAAATGCATACAATATTTAATTTTGAGGGTTACAGAACTACCTAGAGATCTGCCAAAGAACATAGAAATGCTATTAAAACAGAACCCAACACAACACAATCTTCGGTGATCTTCACTCACAATTCTTCCAGTTAGATGACACCTTACAGCTCGTCTTACCACTGTCATGTCTGGGAGCAGGCCTAATCCTGCCCCTAATACTTCTGTTCATCTTGGGGATCCCTGAGGAGCCTCATTAATCCAGGGACAGTGTCAGTGCTCAGTGTAAAAGCAGCAGAATTAGTACCTCCATTTCTGTCCAGAATTAATTTCATTGCTGAACACTCCAAGTTTGGATATTCCACTACTCTCCAGTACCGCATGTAGGTCACCCCCAAAATAATCAGGGATCTTTTCGAAATGAAAAACAACCTGCAAATGCACATTAAAAATACAGGGATAAAACATGGGGGTTTATTTCCAATAAAATCCATGTTCATCTCAAACTCTGTTACACAGATCTGCACAAGAATCAGCTACTGTGCTCTTCACAGAGCAAAACACAAAGAGCAAGCTAAATGCTGCACAAGGATACTGTGAAAGTGCATGAGAACCATAATCACAGCAAGAAGTACTGGACAATACAAAATGCCAGGACGAAACTGGACTTATCCTTTTAGGCAGAGAACTATTAAATCACGGCTCTTAAACCCAAACTTTAAATCCTGAGCCCCACCCCAGATCCACACCCTGAAATGCAGCTCTAACTTGTCTCTGACACAAATGCTGCGATCTGCTGGGACATCCCCCAGAGAAGTGCAGCTCTTTGGCCA